AGAGTGAGACTCTGTCTCAAAAAAAAAAAAAAAAAATGTCCCTTCTCTTTTCTAATGTATTCACATCCTCTTCTCTTCCCTCCTCGCAATACGTTAAAGATGTCTCCAAAATGAGATCAGAGACAAAGGCAGAAGCTTTCTTCTCCAGTCACTGACGCCATGTATTCCTACTTGCCCAAACAACAGTTTTCTTCTTTACCTTCTCTAGCCCTAACCTAAGCCTTACCTTACTATGTATTCACGAAGTTCATGGTGATGAACAGCAACAGTATGAACTGACAAAACAGCTGCATCTTGCTTCTAACAGAACAATTAGTTTATTCCAGTCTACAAAAAATACCATGTCTACATGTCTTCTTTGCTTTCTTCAACTCTCACTACATTCATGGATTGTTCATATTTTAATTTTAATGCAAACGATAATTTTCGTTAAAACAAAGATAGAACTATGATATTCCTGATTTTGGAACCTTGGATGTTTCCAAGATTATATAGTCTCTTGGCATGTATTAGAAAGTGCACAAAGAAAGCTCGCTATATACACTGTCAGAAATATCTCAATCATCAGTTTTTCAGAAATATTTTAGTAAGATTCAGAATCACCTATTTTGTACTTTGCCTCATTTAACCAGCATTCTTCTTTGATTCTTAGGGCATCCCAGCTATACACTGTATTTAATGTCTGTCTGCTGATACAATCTAAATGACTGACTTATTGTATTGATCTACTAGAACAAATAAAGCTGGAACTTTCTTCTTTGAAAGTAATATTTGTCAGAAGACTTTCAGGCAGAGCTTGTCACTTTATGAACACTTGAGAACCTCACGAGAGAGGCAAACATTACCCAGTGTAATGACTACAATACAGATTTCAAGCACAGTTCATTCCTTACTTAGAACTTATTGAAAGCACCAGAGAATCGCTCCTGGAGAGAAAACTGGACTGCAAGCCATCTTCCTGTTGTAACTCGCCCTGTGCTGAACAACACAAAACTCATTCTGACAAGAAACCCCACTGTGATGGCATGGAAGCAGCAACGCCTTCAGAAGAAATACAAGCCTTATGGAGCATCAAAGAATTCATAATAGACAAAAACTAAAACAAAAACCCTGTGAGTGTAGTAACACAGAAAAACCTTCAGAATACAGTCATTGCTTCCTCAACATTAAAGAACCAAACTGGAAGGAAGCCTTATAAACATGTAAGCGCCTTTTAAAAGAAAACAAACCTCCAAGATCAAAAGAGAAATATACTGGGGAGATCCAGGAATATAAGAAATGTGCAAAAACTTAGTAAGAGCTTAGCTCTGAATACCAGAAATCATACTAGAGATTAATGAATGTACAGAGCCCTTCAGCTAAACTTCTGCCCTTATTCAACATTGGAGAATTCTTACTAGGAAGAAACTTGAAAATAAGAATATTACAGGAGAAAAATAGCTCCTATTTCTGCAGAAGGAATGTTATTTTATAAAAGTCACATTGGCTAGGTAACAGACTTTTACAGAAATGACTCTGAACTTCATAAACACCTGTAGGCTATATAGCATGAAGCTTTAGAATGGTCATTTATCAAACTCCTGTACTGAAGAGGTTATTACTCGAGGCACTAGAGATGTATCACTGACTAGAACAAAGGCTCCTGCCCTTGTGGACGTAACATTCCAGTGAGGGGACGACAGACCCCCAGTCTGTAAGTGTCTGACTCATGACCACCCTCCAACCTTTATCACCTCTCAAGACTCCTACAGCTTCGATTGAAATCTTTATTTATTAATGCCTTATAATTACACCTAACCGCAGCTCTTACTCTGAAGTCACCCAATTTGGGGAATATTCAAAGATCTAATAGGCATTTTAAAGATCAACCAGTACAAGCCAGGCACAGAGTCAAAAGTTATACGAGGATTTTCTACTGAGCGGGGCTCAGTGCCCCCAGTCCCTGTGTTGATCAAGGGTCAATGGCAGTCCTATCTATGACGTGATGTATAGCTATGAATGCCACATGGGTTTCTGAGGCCTGAATAATATACGAATAACTTCAAAAGTTTTAAACATTTTAAAATTAATGAAGTATAATTTGACATTTCTAGTGTATCTTATTTTGAGACACCATAATTGACCATTTTCTATATTTAAAAAAAATTCCTAAAACTACTTACATCCGGTTGAATAGCTTTAAATACTGGAACATCCATTAGTGTTATCTGACCCTGAAATAAAAAGTAAAAATGACCACTTCTTCTTTGGAATTCTATGATGTAAATATTCTAAATTTAAATTATATTCTATACTAAAATATTACTGAATATTCAACTTTATAAGGGCTTCTAGAAAATGAAGATTTAGCCTTTATACCTGCAGTCCCCAACCCCCAGGCTGCAGCCTAGTACTGCTCCATGGCCTGTTAGGAACTGGGCCACGCATCACCGCCTGAGCTCCACCTCCCCCCACCCCCACCTCATGGCCATTGAAGAACTGTCTTCCATAAAACTTAGGAACCTGGCCACACAGCAGGATGTGAGCAGCAGGAGAGCTGAGTGAAGCTTCATCTGTATTGACAGCAGCTCCCCATTGCTGGCATCACGGCCTGAGCTCCGCCCCTCACCACGAAACCAGTCCCTGGTGCCAAAAAGGTTGGGGACTGCTGCTTTACACCATTAGATATAATTATTTCTAATTATCTCATGCCTATTCATATTTTATTGGGAGATAAATTAAGTAGAGTTAGAAAATAAAAATTGTAAAACTTTGGACTCAGTCATATATATTAAATCAAAATCAAAAACAAAAATCAGACTACTCATTCATGGAGCAGGGTTCTTGTTGGGATGATTAAATTACAACTCCTCAAACAGCAAAGTGAAATCTGACATTAATAAACTTTTCTTCCTAACTTATAAAAAAGTAATGAGACCACACCAGAGGCAACACACTGTATCTAAGGGCTTTATGTGCTATGCTTTATCTCACTTATGGCTATAGATATGAAACAAAACTCAACAGTATGTTAAAGAATAGCATGCTATGACCAAGCACAGTTTATTCCTGGAATGCAGGAGTGGTTCAACATCAGGAGATCAATACATTCTGCTAACAAATTAAAGGAGAATGAGAATATAAATACATTTATGTCAGTTCAGAAATAACAGGTTTTCTAGATACCTTTCATGATATTATAATAATACTTTCATATTTCATTTTTCAATTTTTAAATTGAAAACAGTAAAAATATAAAACAGTAAAAATATCTCTTATATATGTCAATAAAGTACAGTTGGCTTGGAGAGATGGCATAGGTGGAGATGAAAGCAATTACTATAAAGGTAAATACTTGCACTTACCAAAGTGAAAGTATAACTTAGAAAGCTGCCAACAAATTCTAACTCAGTAGGACCAATATGTAAATTATGTACAAAACTGGAGAAGGAAGGAGGAGGCTTACCGCATATTCTTCTGGTGTAACCTTAAGAACATCAAATACCACAGCATCGAAGCTTTTCTTCAATTCAGAACCTTTGTCACTTAATGACTCAGAACTGCTACTTTTCTGTTAAATTGAAAGAAAATGCAGCCGTTTTAATATTGCCCCACAGTCAGTGTGATAGAAACTAGACTGGCCTTAAAAACTGAGGAAACTGAGAACAGTGGGTTAACAAATGCTGTAGAAAAGCTGCTCAGAGTACTAGATAAAGGGTCAGGCAACTTGAAATCTAACCTCAACTTTAGAGTTTTTAGGTTCTTTAGATTTTTAAGTTCTTGAGTAAGTCATTTTCTTGTGTGTCAGTTCTCTCATCCTGACACCCTATTATTTTCTATAGAGATAAAAGATTCTAACTAGTTCAGTGATTCTCAAATGGGGTAAAGGGAAGTCAGGGGAGAAGGATACACATCTATTTATAATTTTTAAAACTAATTTTTATTAAGACAATTACTTTTATAACATAAACCATCAGAAAATATTCAGGACTCCATTAATTAAAGAGTTGTACAATCCATTCTTAGTTAAGTGATATCTGTCTGTGATAGTATAATTTACACTGTTCTTCCTATTATATTGCAAATTTAAGGTTTCTCCACTTTAAGTACTGCTTAGCTTCCTATCATTACCAGTTTATTATTGGTATTGGAGAAGCAGGTCAAAGTATATCACTAGTAATTTTTTAAGCCTCTACTAACGGCTCGTAAGAAGGAAAAAAGGGAAGTGTTTACTCTTTTTGATAAGCAATAAAATTGCCATTATGATTTATTAGCTTGTTTTGGATGAGTTAACAACTTGGAAAAAACTACCAACTTATATTTTAGATTAATGTGTTTACCTGACAAAATGTATTTAGTTACTTGGTCAGTTACTGGATTAGGTATACTGATTACCTGACGTCTATTTGAATCCTTAACCTTATGAATACATTACTGTATTAGTTCTGGGACATAAAATAATATTGATGACACACTGTAAACTAGTCATAGTTACAGACATTAAACACATGAAATAAAATACTCCATTTTATTTACAGGACTAAAGGTTTCTGCTAAAATTTGGAAAGAACTTGGAATTCATCACTCCTGTCCTCAAAATAGGAAAAAAGCGGAATAACTGAAAATCAGTAACTCTCCTTAGCTCTATGAGAGAACTGATATCACAGAGCGAACTGAGAGTGACGCCCTGAAACCTGGAAAGAAGGCGAGTGCAGAGTCACAGATCACAGGAGCAGAAGCCAGTGGACCCAGGAACGGGCGGGAAGAAACTAGTTGATAAGCTGCTAGAGGCTGTGTGTGGACTAGCTTAAGAGTTAAAAACTCTTAGGGGCCCATTCTTAGGTTCCTCTCAGCCCCAGCTTTTGTGAGTTTTATTACCTCTACGATACCCACTAGGTTCTCATAGTGAAGATCAGAGAAAAATCCCCTTCTACTTCTAGCAGGGGGAAGGGGGAAGCAGCCATATTGAAATATACCCAGAACATTCTATTCTCCACTTGCCCTCAAGGGAAACTACTTCACTAGAGCCTACCCTACTTGGGGGAAAAAAATCCCCAACTTCAGACCCCTGTAGCCTTCCCGTCTCACCTAAGCAGAGTGAGAGGGACTGAGAAGCATTTGTGAAGGTCACAATCCAAGGACAGAGGCTCACCAGAAGACTGAAACCTAATCATAGGACTAGGACCCCCCCACACACACACCCCTTACCACCACATAGACAGGGCTCCTGTCTAATAAGAGAGGATTTCAGCTGAAAGAACTGCAAGGCTCAGACTCTAAGAAAGAGCTTCTAGGGAAACCCAAGACAATAGGGGAGAATAAAACAAGGCTATTAGAGGAAACTGAAGACTCAGACACCTACAGCAATACCAGACTGTAAACACAGCATGAGTCCTAGCATGATAAACATAAACCCTTACTCTAAAGGCCTATTTAACCAGTTCTTATTACCAAATATACTATGTCCGGCTTCCAGCAAAAAATTACAAGGCACACTAAGAGGCAAGAACATAGTTTGAAGAGACAAGCAACAGAACCAGATTCGGGTATGGCAGAGATTTTGGAATTATCAGACTGGGAGTTAAAATAACTGTCATTAATATCCTAAGGGTTCTAATGAAAAAAGTAGACAACATGTAAGAACAAATGGATGATAATAAGCAGGATATTAAAACTCTAAGAATCAAAAAGAAATGCTAGAATTCAAAAACATTGTGACAAAAATGAAGAATGCCTTTGATGAGCTCACTAGTAGTTGACTGGTGACCAATAAACAACCAAGGAAAGAGTCTGTGAGCTTAAAGATATGCCAGTAGAACCTTCCCAGACTGAAATGCAGAGAAGATAGAATGAAAAAAAGCAATGCAATAGCCAAGGACCAGGGGACAATGACAAAAGATACAGCTTATACATGATGGCAATACCAGAAGGAGGAGAGAGAAAGAAGCAGAAGAAATATTTAAAGTAATAATAGTTGAGAATTTTCCAAAATTAATGACAGATCACTTCCTTTGTAATGACGGTGGTTCCTCAATTGATATTTAGCTGCTACTGAAGGCAGGGTGGTAAAAAATGAAGCACAATGACAGGCCCCTAAAACTCACGTATAAGAGCTGGTGGGCTGACCTGTGTGTACTGTAGTAATTGAAACTTTGGTTACTTTTTTGTGCCATTAACTATAGCCTCATATTCTACCACCATTTAATAGAGCCTGGTCTAAATGTTCTTGTTCTGATGATCTTCCAAAATCATCCAACTGACACAGGAAAAAAAAAAAAGTGAGGCAAAAGTAAAATCATAATAAACTAACTAGAGAGGTGCTCGAGCACCTAGTCCAGTCTTCATCTCCGTCTTAAACGCCAAGCCACGTCGGCAGAGTGAGCCCTTCCAGCACTCCAGGCCAACCGTTCTTTGATCTACCCTAACAGGGCTGGAATCAAGGACTCTAGAGGATGTGCAAACTTTAGTGATTCCCAGGAAAAGAATCTTCTTTGCCTCACCTGTACTATTGCCCTCAAGGTTTGTGCAATATAAAATTATTCTAAAAAGAAACTATGTTTCCTTTAAAACTAAACCCAAGAAAGAATTTTAAGTTATGATTTATCATTTTTCAAGTATCTTAAGTAGATGAGGATTAAGTGTTCTAGGATGCACAGTGAACATACGAATGACAAAATTAAAAGTTAAAAAGAAAAGACTAAAAAATGTGTAGGTCTTTTCCTCACATGCTGATTTAAATTGTGGTTTTTCAAGCACAATGCTTGAAAAATTAGAAAGCCAGGTAAGAAACTTTACAATTAAACTTATCAAATATCTTACCTCAGAAGCAGTAGCTGCAGCAATAACACTGCTGGCCTGCCCGTTCGTTAGGTCCATGCTTTCCTCATCAGTCCCTGACCTGTGTTAACAGAGGACTGATGGCTTCATGTCCAAGGCCACAAATACATTATTCCTGCAAAAAATAAACAAAAAAATTAAAATATATGTCTTCCTTGAAGTTTAAGAAAATAAACCCATGCCTACTACCACACCAAGAAATAAAATACTTCAACTGTGCAAAACTCTTTTATTTTAGCTAAGCCACTAAAGCCAGATGGAAGACAATCTTGTATGATATTTTCAACCAATCAGAAACACCAAATGGGCAATATTCAATAGATGCTACTGTTATCTTCTTCATAAGAAAAGCAAAAGCATACCTTTTCATTTAAGTGGGCGTCATTTGAGAAAAAATCAAATTGCATAACTTTTTTAGTTTTAAGTAAACAAAATGTGTAAACACCATGTGGCAAAGACAGACATGTCATAACACGATAAATTTTTAGAGATCCTAAGGACACTCCCTTAAATCAACAATACTGAATAAGCTTGCCATGGTTAGTAATCTATTAATAGTCTACCAAAATATCACTAATATTAAATACTTAAGATACTATGTCATAAAAATACAGTCATCCCTGTATCCTCAGGGCATTGGCTCCACAACTCTCTGCAGATACCAAAATCCACAGATGCACAAGGCCCTTAAATAATGGCGCGGCGCTTGCACATAACCTACGCACATCCTCCTGTACATCTAAAATCATTTCTAGATTACTTACAGTGCCTAATACAAGGTAAGTGCTATGTAAACAGTTTTCATACCATATTGTTTAGGGAATAATGACAAGAAAAAGGCCGTACATGTTCAGTACAGACAGAACCATCCTTTTTCTCCCCCTCCCCCAAATATTTTCAATCCATAGTTGGTTGAATCCATGGATGTAGAACCCAAGGATACGGAGGGCGGACTGCACCATAGTATATGCTATGTTTCTTTGTGTAGGGCTTTAAAGTTGGCTGAGTATCTTCAATATGTCATCTTATTGATTTTTACAACTATCAATAATACTAATTGGGAAGCTATTCTTATACCCGTAGAACACAAAGAAACAGCCTCTGAGGACACAGGCTGGGAAATGAGGAGCCAAAAGCAAGACTCAAGCCACCTAAAACTCCAGTTAAATATTCTTTCCGGAATACTACATTTCTTTTCACTTCACTAAAAGTCAGAATATTTTCTTGAAGTTCTAATATCTTCCCACAAATAACTTGCTAGATAACACTAACATAGGTAACTTTTAACTACTCTAGGACAGAATTTCTTCCTTTCTGCAAAAAGACAGGGGCAAACAGACTTTAAGATCCCTTTTCAACTTTAAATATCTAAGACATTTTTCATAAGAGAAATGACAAGTGTCTATAAATTAGGTGTTCTACACTATACTCACTTTAAAAACTGAGTTTGAAATGTCAATAATAATTCCTTCAATATTAAGTTTCCTTTCTCTGGAGAAACAATATAGGATAGTGATTTCAAAGCACATACTCTGGAATAAGACTGCCTCTCTGTGAACCTAGCAAACTTTTAACTTTTCTATGCTAGGTTTCCTCATCTATGAAATAGAGCCAAGTACCTACTTCACAGAGTTGTGATCAGGAGAAATAAGTTAATATACACAAAGCACCTAAAACAGTACTGACGCACAGTAAGGGTGCTATTACCATAATGCAGTGATGATGCAGATGTTGTTACTACCTACTTAATCCACATAAAGCTTAAATTCAATGGAGTCTCCTAAATAAAGAAGACAAAAATCTTAGAAATACACCCCCGGCAAGCACACATTCATGAGCATCACTAAAAATTCTAATTGTAAACACAATGAATAAGAATGACTAAAATATATTTCTTACATGTAGCAAAACATGCTCTTTGTTTTCAAATGCTTAAAAACTATTTCTAATGATAGCAACCCTCAGTTACATCTTGAATTTATCTTCATTTTTTATCATGCTAGAATTTTTAAAAGAAGAAATATATTAGAAACAATGGGGTTTTAAAATCATTAGAACCTACTTAGGAAATCAATGTGAAAATGAATAAAGCACAAAATAATTTTTAATTTTCTTTATACTGTCTCATTCTATGAACTTTATTCTTCTTATGATACTGTTAAGGATCAACTTATATTTACACTGCTATTCAAAACCAGCTTGATAACCCAGATTCTCTCTGAAGGTAACAGTAACAGTCTGCAATGAAATGTCTTCAAATAATTTCATCTCACTCCACATTTTACTTACAGATTAAGTATGACATGAATGCATAAATCAAGAGTGCCCCCTAGTGCTAAAAAAAAGATTTTAATTTAATAGTTAAAGGAACTGTATCCTTAACCTACTTTACATATCAAACATACAGATTTTACTACTAGAAAAGCTAATACAGACCAGGAATGACACTAACATAGTCATAAACTACAGTCATAAAGAATAAAATTTTCTCTGCCTGCTTTTAATTAAATTGTCACTGAAGTATTCCATGAAAATTATGGTCACATTAAAACCCATTATGTATTTTAAAAAATACAGCAAAGCACATCTTAAAGAAAATAAAGAAACTTCATAACTACTTACAAATGTACATGTCAATAGTATATAATAATGGTGAAGTACAACAGAGACTCATATGGTACTATAAAAATACTAAAAGTCCTAAAAGACAGAGATGTGAAATATTTATTCTTTTAGTATGTGCCTCAAAGACCTTTCTAAGCTTTCCACACAGAAAAATTCAAATTAAATAAGACAAATATACCCTTTAATATTATTTATTTTTCCGAGGGCTATAAATGGCACAAATATTCATAATGACTACTATAATAAAATCACAACAGTTATTTTCTTAATTAAACTCATTAGTTTCTACTTCTTCTCAACTTCTCAAGACAGTTACTTTAGCTGTCTTTTGGGTTTAAATTCCAAAACAGGGATATTGCTTCTTTCCAAACAATATAACCCCAAAACAAGAAATCTGGAACGTGTAGCTTTTTAGTTCCTTGCTTCAGTTCACAAAACTAGATTATCAATCTGCAAACACAGTCATTCAGCCTCCTAACTGCCTATCTTCTCAATGGTATTCCCAAAAAGAAACCAATGCCTTTTTTAATAAATGAACAAGGTGATTAAAGTCAAAGCAACAATTTCTCACTAATTAATCTCATTTCACAGTAACAGTTCCATATTCTTTTCTAAAATAATTTATACTATCATCTTTAGGAATATTATACTAAAGACATTTAATAGCTTTATAAAACATACACCAGAAGAGTTAAGCAACTATTAATAAAAGGAAACTGACAGTGAAATAAAATTAATTAGTACAATTTCTTTGGGAACATTTCAACAATACAGAATTGATATGTTCATACACTTCTGGCCCCAAATCTCAGTCCTGGAAATTCACCTTATAAAAACTCTACAAAGCTATTAAACCAAGTATTGTTTACAATAGTGAAAAGGAGAAGTGACGTTAACGCCTTTACATACAATCGTGTTTAAAAAACTCAATGGACAGTTACAAGTAAGGAACCTCAAAACAGCAGTGACAGGTTCAATAAAAGCAACTAAACCTTCTCATTATAATGTACTTATAAAGTTTTGTGAGAAATACAGAGTACAATTAAAACACTGTAATTACAATTCAATATTTAAAAGTTATTACAGAGTTTGCTTTAACAATTATTTTTTAATAGAAATTGAAGACACATTTTAACACCCAAAGATATAAATGGCCTGTATGTCATAGCCTTAAGCAACCCCACTCCAACATGTGTGACAACTAAAAATTTACACTGCCTTCTTTATTTTTTAAAGTAAGAAAACCAGAGATTAGTCCCAATTTCCCCAATACTTTGTTTCAATAATTACAACCATCAAAATGCTGAAGAGTAACAAAGAAAAATTTTGGTTTTGGACATAACTGATATTGAGCTATTCTGACAAAGTCTTCATAAAAAATGCAGTTACCAAAAATGCATTTGCCATTTCTGGTACAGCACTAAACAAGGTTAATTATGGTATTTGTCACTTGTAAAAAACTCAAGTTAACTAAGATAGAAATTTAAAAAGAACAGGGTTCTGATGTACATCTGAGGTTATGAAGGGCTCCCTGCCTCCCACAGAGTTCATTAGTCTCCTGTCTCTGTACTTCTACTGCTCTTTTGTAGAAATCCTATTACTATATTTTCACACTGCTTAGCTTCTCTCTCCTTAGTGATCTTTTAGTTCCTGATGTTGAAGACCCATATTTAAAAACAAGCCACGACAAAAAAAACATTATTTTTTATCTTTGCATTCAGGCACAGATAGCATAGTACTTGACCTCAATTACCTACTTTAATAAAAGTATCTGTTGAAAGAATGAGTAAATGACTGAACAAAGGAACAATTCATAGTTTAAGATTATATAAATGCCAGATTAACAAAAGTATAGGGAGAATGGCAATCAAATAATCAATATAGACAATACTGCATAGATTTAAAAGAATATGATGAGGATTTCTACTTCCAGCAACATGGCTGACAGAACAATCTAAAAATCTTTGTGCCACAAAAGAAATTTAGAATAAGGGCTTAAATTCTGATACTAGCTAGAAAGAGAAGACTAGTCCACGAAGAGATGAGAATGAAATCGAGGTACACACGCTCTCCTCCCGATCACATGCTCCCCATGCCTCCATCTACAATAAAGCCAGAGAGATCAATAATCTACCCATCAGTGATAAGATGGTCTAGGGAAAAAAACGTATCCTGGTAGAGGATGATGACGAAATTTGTCTGTCTCGGCCTGGGCTTAGTGTTGAGGCTGGAATAAAGCATCTACCCCAAAAATTCGTGACCCCAGGCATGCTCCCATACAGAGAAAGAATTTGGATTTATACTATCAGCATGGTCCAAGACCCTCAAGACAAAAAAATACCATAAAATATGTTAACAAGCCAGTGAGACTCTCCTAGAACCCAAGGAAAAAATTTGAAGAAAGGGCCAGGTACAGTGACTCACTTCCGGCACTATGGGAGGCCCAGGTGGGAGGATCCCTTGAGGCCAGGAGGTTTGACACTAGCCTGG